ATAGTTTTTTTTCGGATTTTTTTTCGGATTTTTTTTATGTTTTTTTTTTTTTTTTTTTGCTTTTTCATACAGGGCCGTACAAGACGTACAGGTTCCCGTACAGATCCCGTACAAAAATAACCTATACGTTTTGTACGGGAAGCCCCCATACATGTACTCTATGCAACGTAGGACTCTGCCTGTTTCAAATTTAAACTCAGATCTTGTGAGACTTTCTACTAGAATCTTTCGCGCAGGATTCTGCGCATGAACAAACTTCATAAGTAATCAGCAAAGAACTCGATGAGAGCTGACAGTGTGTTTTTGTCGCCAGCATTTGCGTCTGTTACCTCATATCTTTTTTTTTTCTTTTTTTTTTTAAACCAGCGACTACTAGAGGGGATGATAAGAGCAACCGCCTCTAGTGGGGAGCTGCAACTGCTGGAAACCAGGTCCAGCGTCCCTGTATAACAAGATCATCCACAAGATTAGCTCGAGAGTGTTCCGCCAGCATTGATTACCCCAGGATATTAGCACGTGGCCATTTTCAAAATGGGCAATGCAGACTGGTTGTCTCAAGACTCTGTTTTATGTAGAAAAGAAAAAAGGTTATGCAGAAAGGTCTGCTAATTTTTAAAATATCAGATTTGTTAAACAAATTAGAAGAATTTGGAAGGACTAGGTAAAAAAAAAAAGGTAGCCTTCTAGTGGCGAGGGTAGGAGGCGTAGCATTCGAGAAAACGACATTTTCGCTACTATTTTGCTGAAAGAAAAAACGTGATAATCTTTATTCACGATAAAAAAAAAGAACGGACCGCTGGATGATTGTGAGGGTGTGCATCTCCTTCGTCGCCTACAGTTGCACGGCGTAGAAAACTAAACGTGGACCTAGCTCAAAGGACGAAGTGGGACAAGGTCCCAGGGACGGCCTCCTATATTGGGGGCAGTTGTTGTGAGAAAAAAAAAAGAAAAGAACGATGGAACAGTCATGTGACCCCTGGGGCCAGGTCCACCTGAGCCGTTGAGTTGGCTCAATGTTGGTTTTTCAACCGTGTCTGGCACATGAGGGGCACCGTCGATGAACACATTAATTGCACGGAGGCCGTTTTTCAAATGGTAGACTAAGTACGAATTTGCTCAATATCATTGCCTGCTATACCTTCCCAAAATCCTTTTTTTTGGGGGGGGGAACAAATCGTGGGTCACAACCCACGTTTCCAATAGGCAAAAAAAAACACTTGTCCGCAGGTCCATCCCTGCCGTAGTGTGAAAAGGCAAAAATAACATTGGGCGTGGTTTCAGACATCAGGCCTGATTGAAATATGCACTTTTGTCATTTTCTGGAGCTTTTTTTTTCTTTTTTCTTTTTCACACATGGGCTGTAGTCTAGACATCTTGGCCGTGGCCTAGACATCCTGGTCGTGGCCCAGCCAGGCCATGGCCCAGACATCTCAGCCATGGCCCAGCCTGGCTGTAGCTAGACATCTCGGCAGAGGGCTCAAGGGAAAAAAAAAAAAAAAGTTGGACCGTAGGATCGCCAGATCATGCGGCCGAAAATGGCTGCACCAAAATGAGCATGGGTAAATCCAAAATGGCCGAGGAGGGCGATGATGCTTGCCCGGCTGAATCCAAAACGGGGCCGCCGGCAACGAAAGGCAAGGGGACCCAGTCTCCTCAGCCCGACGGTCCAAGGTCAGACACGGAAGGAGAGAAAGGGGTAGAAAAGGATATCCCCCTAACCGAGGCCCAGGGTGTGGAGAAGTTAACTGAAAAAGCGACTGATAAAGCCCCGGGAGGGGAAGGGGAACTGGAGAAGGCGGGTAAGAACTGTCCCCGCCCAGACAAAGAAATGAAAGATGCGGGGGAGGAGGTAAAAGGGAAGGAAGATGACCCGGGTGCCCGGGCTGAGGAAACGGAGGGAGCATGTCAGAAAGGGATGGGGGATGGGAAACCATCTCCAACCCCTTACAAGGATGCTCTCTGCACCCCCTTTGCCAAAGTGACAAGCAAAAAGAAGACCAAGACAAGGAAAAAGAAGGATGCCAAGGCAAAACCAACGAAGGAGTGGAGACGAAATTCAAAAGTTGAACTCCCACAAGAGAAGAAAGCCCCGGGGGATCAGTTAGAGGAAAGGGAGGAGGGGTATGAGAGGGCGACACACGAAAAACAGACGTTAACGAGGGAGAATTGGAGGGTTGATAAGGAAGAAGCAAGGAAGGAAAGGGAACAGGAAAAGCAAGGAAGTACGAGCGAAGAAATGACAAGGAAAGTGATTCAGGATCCCTTGAGCCCAACTAATTTCTCCCCAATGACATCTGAACGGAATTTAACTCCCCTCAACAGGGAGAGGATGTCTGGTCAAAGCCCCAAGGCCCCAACCCCAGGCCTAGCCACAGACCCAGAACATGCGCTGGCGGGCACAAAACTGTCTGAAGAAAAGGGGGAAGCGGTGGAAACACTTGCCCACCTCTTCACAGGAACGACGCCTCACATCTCAGTATATAACAACGAGATATACGAGGAAGTACAATCCGAAGAGGAAACAAACATAGACTATGGTCTGCAGAGGAACTCGGGTGTTCGAAAACTTACCTCGGACGACGAAGATGGGAACACAAGTTCAGACAGGCACAATGTCGAGGAAATCGAGGACGAGCCGGAGCAGGAGTTTTACTCTACACGGAAGGAATGTTCAATACACCGGAGAAAGATGTAGGATCTACTGGTAAACAACAGCCGTTTATTTTCTCTTCTCCGGCTCCGAAGGTTCCCTTCACGAACTCTGCTAAGGAACAGTCGATTTCGGGTACTCTCGTACCACTTTCATCAGTAAAAAGGCCCAGAATTGAAAGGTCAGCCCGGATAACTATACGGGGTGAAGACGAGGGAGGTGGAGGAACTGAGGAAATTGCTCGAAGTTCTCCTCTGAAAAGAGGAAGATCTCAGACCTCCCGTCCAGCCCAACGATCATTGGCACTAGCAGCTCCCATGCGAACTTTATCTCGAGGAGATAAGGCAAAGGGTATGGTTCCAGATTACCTTATCCCCCTCATCTGCTCACACGACAGACATAAACCCAGATTTAGGACGATTATGAGCAGGGATGAAACTTTGCTTTTACCATCAATTCAACTACGTAATACCCCTTCTCCAATCATGATATGTAATTTGATAAAAATTCAAATACTCCAGAACTTGGGTGAAGTGGGGTTGCTCCCAGAACCAAAGACAACACGCCACTTGATAGATATGCCTGAAGGGGGTAAGGCGAGACTGATGTTTGTGTTCGCAGACCTGTCATACATAACGGATAACAAAGCCAAATGAGACGATCTTAAAATTTATTGGGTGAAACTATCCCACTTGGCCTCCCCTCAGTCTGACACAGTTCAAGTCATTGGACTGCTTTCCTCATTGACGACACGAACTGTAGCTGAGTGGTTGTCACAGTCTGACAACAGATCAATCCTGTTGTTAGATGCGTTCACCGAGACTCTCCATAAAAGAAGAACAGGGAAAAATTTAAACTTTTCAGTAGGAGAATTGCACTCATTTGAACCACTGACTACAGGGGAAGACAATATAAACTGCATTCAAACCCCGAGCGGTCCAGCGAGCAAGGATGGTCCTACCCAGTAGATTCAGACTTGCAAGATAGAACGTCTGAGGTTTAGGAGATACAAACGACACTTACCAAAGGCAGCGGTTGGCTTCCAGAATCCACTCACAGCACATACAGATTATATGCCTCCATGAAACTAAGATTGGGCCGTATAAGATGGCTGAAATCTCGAACTGGTGGGGGGGACCACAAATATGGCCCCCGGCGGTAGGGACCCGAGGGGGGGTGACCATTATTGTGGACAAGAACTTAGATATTGATATAATGGATTCCTGTGCAGACACTAAGGGCCGTTGGGCCGGGCTTAAGATTGCAGTAGTAGACGCAGACTGGGCTGTATTCTCGATTTATGAACCAGTGGATTATGTAGGTAGGATTTTTTTTTTCCAGACCTACCAAAATAATCCCCGATACTGAAAACCTTTTAATACTAGGAGATTGGAAGTGCGTGATGAATCCGGGATGGATTCCCCCAACACCTTCCTAGTACGAGAGGATGCTCTGCTGCTAAGTTCGTTCATGGAGTCCCTGGACTTAGCGGATGTGTACAGAACGCTAAACCCAAAATCACACGGGTTCACGTGGCGAGGTCCACGCCCATCGACAAGAGCCCCGGTTCCCAAGAGATGCCTGGATTTCATCTTGGCTAAGGGGGAACCTTGGGATCGTTGCATGTGGGCGGGAGTGCGTGCCTTCTCTCTATCTGACCACGCCCCCGTATTGATGGACGTCGTCCCAATTGAGACGGTAGAACGGCACAGACCACCTTTCAGACTCAATGTCTCAATCCTTAAGGATCCTGGGATAATTAAATGGATCGAAAACCAAATGAAGGACTGACAGCTGGCGAAGGACCTATTTGACAGCCCATAAGTCTGGGTGGATACGGGAATAGGCATACTGCAGTTGGCCATGATTGAGTTTTCAAGAATGAAAGCCGCAACACGGAACTGGAAAGAAAAACAGTTAGTTAAAATATTGGAACAAGCAGACTCCTATGAGGGACCGGACCCTTTTTTGGAATATTACTGGTAAAAAAAAAGGACTGCAGCATTGAAAGAACTAGAAGAATTGAAAATTCAAAATCAGGCAACGTGGCAGGAATGGTTAAAAATCAAGGGGATATTGGAACACGATCGAATGACCAAGACAACGTTCAAATCACTAATTCAACAAAGAGCCAAACCATTAATGAGGGAGTTCTCCCATCCTTTCGCTTTGAACGCCCCCTTGGCCACAGAGACCGCTGAGTTGTGCACGTATGCAATGGAATACTTTAGAGACATTGTTTCTACTAGAAGGCCGTATGACTCCTTCGACGCCAATTTGGCAGACACACATCATTACTGGGATTGCTCACTAAGACAAATCTCCCAAAATCAGAGTCAGTCACTTGATGAGCCCATCACGGTGGAAGAAGTCACGCGGGCGGCAAGGTTGATGGCCAAGGGTAAGTGCCCAGGCCCTGACGGTCTTCCCATAGAGTTCTTTCTAGCAGCATGGGACTCCTTTGCGCAATTCTTTTGTGATATTTACAACGAGACGTTACGAACGGGCACGCTACCAAAAGGATTGTTAAAAGGCATGATATCCCTGCTATATAAAAAGGGGGACAAACAGGAAATATGTAATTGGCGCCCCATATCGGTTTTGAATGTATCATACAAATTGTTAGCCCTCAGGGTGGCCGAAGTCCTCCCGGAGGTTGTCGGGAGAGAACAAGGGGTCTTCGTTAAGGGGCGTACGACTATGTGTCCGAAATCGGATTCAACGGGGTTTTTGAGTTGAACGGTTCAACTCCCATTCAACTCCCGTTTCAACTCCCCGTTGAACCGAGTTGAATGTGGTACAACTCGGCCCGCGGATGTTTTTTTTGCAGGCAAAAGGTAGGTGAAAAAAAAAATAAAAAATATGGGCGTGTAGAGTTTTTTGCTCTCTACATCCCCATATTTTTATGTTTATTTTTTTTGCATTCAAATTATTTTGAAAAAATAAAAAACAAAACCAGACTCAAACAGATAGATTTTTTTTCCTTTTTTTTTTCGAGTGAATGAATGATTGATTGATTGATTGATTGGTGGGGGATGGGTCGCCCCCCCAACCCCC